GAGAGAGAGAGAGAGAGAGAGAGAGAGAGAGAGAGAGAAAGACAGAGAGAGAGAGTGTCTCGCTCTGTAACTCAGGCTGGACTTGAACTCGCTATGTTGCCCAGGCTGGCCTCAAACTTGTGGCGATCCTCTTGCCTCAGCCTCCCAAGTGCTGATATTACAGTCGTGTGCTACCATGCCCTGATTGGCAGGGCATACTTGTCACCTCTCTTGTCAGGAACTTCCTATTATATTATGCAATGTGCACTTACCAGGAAAATAAAATATCAATAAAATAAAATATCAAATATGTGATGACTTTACAATGAACAGCAACTTTTCCACAACTGTGTATTTGCTTATGAAATCTAAAAAATAACAGCAGAAATAAATTCCTATGAGGGCTACAATGAGAATACAAATAAAACGCCACCAGGCCGGGGATTTAGCTCAGTGGTTTCGCCGCCTGCTGCGTAAGCACAAGGACCCGAGTTCGATCCCCGGTACCCAAAACACCATCACAAAAATAATCTTTACTTCAATTATTACACCTAAGTCAGTTTTCACACATGAAAACAGCATGCTCCATACACAAGTATCACTTACACTGATAACATGTATGTATTGTTTTCCTGTCTTCTTGGTATTTTCTTTTCTGTTTTTTTTTTTCTTTTCTGTTTTTTAAGGAGACTTGAGTTAGCTAAAAAGCTTTCTCACTTTTTGGCCAGGAATCAATAACAACGCATATTTATTTATTTTTATTTTATCTCATCTCCCCTCAAGCCCCCTCCCCTCCCCATGTACAAAAACTTTGTTTCCATTTTTTCCTTCCATTTTTACTTTTTTCTTGTCCCTTCCTTCCTTTCTTCCTCCCTCCTCTCTTGTTCCCCTTCTCATTTGTAATTTTTTTTTTTTTGGTGGTACCCAGGATCGAACTTGGGACCTTGTGCTTGCAAGGTAGGCAGCAGAATCACTGAGCTAAATCTCCGCCCCTCCCCTTCTCATTTGAGCACTTTCTTCCTATTTCCCAACATCCATTATGTATCTCAGTCCTTATTTCCATATTCAGTTTCTCACACTAGAGAAACAATGCAGTATTTAAACATGTGTGTCCTATTTATTTCACTTAAGAGTATGGTCTCAAGGTACATCCATTTAGCTATAAATGTCTGAAGCTCATCCTTC